ACTAAAGCGCAGGCTCAGAATCAGGTGGAGAAGATAGTAGTCCCTCAACCCCGTCAAATCTTAGTCCACTGTGATGCTAATGATTGGAAATGAAGGGATGTGAGTTAAAGGGTACAAACTTTCAGCTATACGATAAAAACGTTATGGAAGCCAACTGTACAGCATGGTGAGTGGAGTTAGCAATACTGCATTGCACACCTGCAATGTGCTAAGAGAGTAGACCTCAAGTGCCCTGCCACTTTAAGAAAAAAAAAGAAGGTAACTATGTGAGATTGATATATTACTTAGCTTGACTGCGATAATCATTTCACAATGTAAATGTGTATCACCATATCATGTTATATACCATAAACACGTATAATTTTTATCAGCCATACTTCAATAAAGCTAAAATTTTTATTACTTATATTATCATTAGCCTTTATCCACTTTTCCTACCTTTATCCACTGCATACTCCGACTTCAAATGCCTCTTCATATGGCATCTGGTGAGGGCTCACTGTTTGCCGTATAGATACCGTCTTCCTGCTGCATCCTCACATGGAGGAAGAGATAGGCAAGCTCTGTGGGGTTCTTTATATGTGCTCTGATCCTACTCATGAGGCCTCTGCCCTCATGACCTAATCATCTCCCAAAGGTCCCCTCTGCTAATACCATCACCTTGGAGGATTAAGATTTCAGTATATGAATTTGGTGAGGACATACACATTCACACCATAGCAAAAAGTAATTCAGCCCTTCCCCTAGCATGCTTGAGGAAATACACTTCGTAGTATTGATAGTATAGAAATGGTTTCTTCTCCTTCATAGCCTCTTATTGACGCCAACTCTAACTGCAGCCCATCTCCTCAATCATTTGGAGTGAGGGCCAGAGGTGTTACTAGATGTGCATGGGGACAAGGTGAGGCCTCTTGGCAGAAAAGCAGACTATCACTAGGGATGTTGCATACATAGAGAACTCCCTGCCTACGTATACTAGGGCTACCACTCTCTCCCCTTAGTCCTGGAGGACAAGGCGCTGATCCTAGGAAGGGTTGGTTCCTGGTAAGGGAGGAGCTTAAACAGAGGCTTCACTAATTCACCATCAGAAATCTACATCCCCTCTGCTTCTACAGAATAGCAAAACTGACTTCTACCTGTTTCTTAAGGCCTTTGAGGGTCTAAAATTCCGCCTTGCTCTCACATTACTCTGAAGGAAGAGTTTTAGAAATGACTCAGACTCTTGGAATAAACATCGAGGCCCCTCACAAGAGACTATTCAAGAGGTATTGGCACTCACAAAACTCCATCCCGCTGTATTTTTCTTTTTCTTTTTTTTTTTTTGTAAGAGAGATTTTTGTTATAGGGCATGTGTGCTCACTGGAGAGACAGAGACAGAAAGCAAGAAATCACCCCCTGGGGGAGGGGTGGGGATGGCCACACTGCAATCCCTTCTCCATCATTCTCCTCTTGAGATTTTGGGACATGCATGCACAGGCACCTGCTGTGAGTTTTAAGCTACCAGGTCTGGGACTCAAACTGTGGTCGATTATGTGGAAATCCAGTGAGGTAACCACTATGCCATCTGCTAATCCCGATCCAGCTATTTTTCTAAGAACACAGCTTCCTGTACACCAAGTTACACCAGGTAGAAATATTTTATCTTCTTTAATCAACCATATCATTTCTTTCAAAGACGAAATACCTTTTGAAACAGGGATGACTGTGGTCAGAATCAATATTTCTTCCCAAGTTGAGTTTATTTCAGAAAACAGTGCATCTTGATGAGTTTTGCTCAAAACCAACATCTCAAGCAGCATGCAAGAGCAAAACTAATGATTTTCTAGCCTTGGTCCTGTCCCCACCTCTTAGCCTACCCCTTATACAGTATCTGTATTCTGGGTCACACTTACTGGATGGAAAACTAGGGAAGTTTGATGTGTTAACTGTACTTTCATTCGTGGCCATTCCCAACTTCCACCTCACTGCATTCCCGCATAGAAGACAGCACTTAAAGGCACTGGAAAGTTTAGGGCTATTTTTTTCTTCCAATTTTACTCTTTTTCTTTTTTTGGAGAGGTTTTTATAGGGCATGCGTGCTCACCAGACAGACAGAGAGAGACAGAGAGACAGAAAGCAGGAAATCCCCCCCCCCCCGGGGGATGGCCACGCCGCAATCACTTCTCCTCCATTTTCCTCTCGGGATCTTGGGCATGCATGCACATGCACCCGGCGTTTACTCTTAAAGTAGGTTTAAGGACAGGAAGAGTGTATCTATCTTATGAGAAGGGAAACTAAGGCCACAGAAAGGCTAACTTGCTTCAGACATGTCTCTTCCCTCCTCCTGGTATTCTCAGACAGGTACAGCAGTTTGCCTACATTCTCATCTGTGATATATAGATACAGATATAGATTAGATATAGATATAGATATAGATATAGATATAGATATAGACATAGATATAGATATAGATATAGATCACAAGAGAGAACTCAACTATAACTCAAAATCTGAAAGCATTGTTTTACTATTAATTTTTAGATTATAAAGAAAAGACGCACCATGAAAATATTTGCAATTTATACCACAAATGGTGGCTGTCTAGCCCCCAGTATAGGAAGACCCCCCCCCTAAATCCTAAATACCAATGAAGTCAGGAAGAAACAGACTTAAGGAGAAAAGATATCATCTTCAGGAGTCACAGAGCCCTTGGAGTGCTAGAGAAAGGTGGGGTGTAGGTAGATGTGGGGAGAAATTGTGTGTTATGCTTAATCATGAGACCCTTGTCATGGGCTGAACTGTTTCCTTCTCAGATTTACATGTTGAAGTATTAACCCTCAGTACCTCATGACTATTTGGAGAAAAGGTCTTTAAAGAGGTAACTGAGTTCAAATGAGGTCACTGGGCTGGGTCCCAATTCAATATGACTAGTGTACTTATGAGAAGAAATTTGGACATAGACATGTATAGAGGAAAACAACATGAAGACACAGGGAGTAGATGGCCATCTACAAGCCCAGAGACCTCAGGAGAAACCAACCTTGCCAACAGCCTGATCTCAGACTTCCCACCTCAAGGGCTGTGAGAAAATTAATTTCTGTTGTTTTAAGCCACCCACTCTGTAAAACTTTGTTATGGCAACCCTAGCAAATGAATACAGCCCTGAAGCAGTTCTATTTGACCCAGAGAATCACAGAAGATTTTGTCTCATCTTCTCTTCATGAATCTCCCTGTTGCTGGCTCCTTCTCTCGGCTCATCTGGCCATTGGCAGCCTTTTTGTCTCAGGGAAGGGCTCTGATTGGTCCAACAAGGGACAAGTCTCCAGCAACAAACCAATCACTTGAGGGCAGGAGGGTGGTGTAAAGTGATTGGCTCAGGAAGAGTCAAATGCCCACTCTCAACGAACCAAAGCTGCTGCCTGCCACTGATACCATCTTGCCAATTTAAAGCAAGTCAGAGTTCCCACCTAGAGTTTACTACTCTTTGACTTTCCAAAATCTATATGGAAGGTGAGGTAATCACTGAGAGGGGGACTCTGGAATTTCAAAAGCACACACAAGGCCTCAAAATGTCTTCCTTGACCACAGACCACTGTGTCTCAAATTATACTGTGGCCATGTTGCTTGTTGAACTATTCTACCTATGGACTTTTAAAAACACGCATGGGCCTGGTAGTAGTTACATGTGGAACTAATTATTACTATCTTATTAATTTGCTAACCCCTTTTTTTCTCTGTAGGAGAATCAGACAGAGTCCTAGAAACTGTGGAAAAGTCCAAGCAATAGTTCCGAAAGAGGAAAGTAAAGGGCAAGTGAAAATTTCACAAACTTAAACTTTTGTTGGAATTGCCTCTGCCTTTAAGTTCTAGGAAAGGACCCATTCATGTAAAATCTATAGTCAACATAAACATGTGGATTTCTCACGTGAAATGGCACCTAACCTACAGGTTCTGATGTACTCCTAGATTTATGAATCAAAATTCACAATTATTCCTCTCTTGGCACCACAGTTTAACTAAGTTCCCAGAAGAAAAAAATCAGAAAAATATTATATGATTTCAGCCTCTATCCCCCACCACCAATTTAAAATTGGGTAAAAAAATCCCATTTCCTCAAGACCATCAGCTTTTAGAAATGCCTTCATTCCAGGTTTTAGTTCTAACGAATACAACCAGCTTGAGGTAGGAAGTCCTCAGGCTTCCCCCCAACTGGGTAGAACTTTAGAGTAAGATCATTCCTCCTGAAAGACTGGCCTAGGATGAAGCATCTCCATGCCAACCCTGGGCTCTTCCTCCAATATGAGATCCAGATTACAGGGTAGGTTGCTTTGACTTCAACGTTTAGTGTATTACTACTAATAACTTGGCAAAATTAGACCCTGGCTCCAACTGTTGCCTGTTGGATTATTTTTTTAATCTGAACTTTATCTAGAGACTCTGCTTTGCCTGTTGGAAATGTCCTTCAGATTCCGTCCAACCAGCCCTTATCACAAGTGCCTATTCAGTACCAAACCTAGCACATGGTAGGTGCTCAATCAAAATGTGTAGAAGGGATGGTTATGAGACTGGATAGATGAACAGATAGATGGTGAATTGATGGATGGATGTTTTGCTCCTTCCCTTAAAGCTAGCTCTCCTGCCCCCCCCACCCCCCACACACAGAGTAAGGAGTTGGTATTAACCTAAGGTAAAGTCACAGACCATAGCTCTGTCTTGTCCTGCTGTCACCCTTGGACAGCTTCTGGTATACAACTTCCATTAGAGTAACATGTATAACTTTAGACTACTAGCCTAAGACTCCAGATAACTGAGATAATGGCTATCAAGACCAAAATCTAGTACATTCCTTTGGATGGCCTATAGGGCTCACATTCAACAATGAATTGGTCCCCTTTCTGCTTCCTTTTATAGGCTCATTAAACTGCTAGGACAAAACTTTAGATCCAGCTATGTGAAAAAATAATCACTTCAGTTGCAAACATTAAGTATTTGAAAAAGACTGACAACACACTTACCCAGTACCGCCAGGTCTCAGCTTCCCCATCTGTAAAACTAGGCTCAGTCCCCAGATCCCTCAGGATGAACCAGCAGCTCCCAATGCCAGGAAAAGTGCTTCTACGACGTCAGGTGAGCTGTACAAATGAAAGGTAATTTGACAAGTCGGCCAGCACAGAGCAGCCAGTCAAGTCAATGCAGAGTGCTCTAATGCATTTAAAAGCCCAGAAGCAAGCCCAGGCTGAGTAATAATGGCCTAAACACCACCAGGGAGTTCCCAAGTCTAATTTCTAGCCCTGATGGCCACGGTGTTCCATCTCCATTGGGCTAATTAAGGCACGGTGGAGACAGAATCTGCCAGAGAAGCTCACCCTGGCCTTGGTCTAGATTTATGGGGAAGAGAAGTTGCCAAGAGGGTAAATTAGACATCAGCAGGGCTTCCCCCAGGATGAGGAGGTCTCCGGAGCATTAAGACCATGAGATTTAAAGTGATTAGAGATCAATGCTATGCAGAGACTAGGAGGTATGGGAGTTAGAGCAAGAGCTCTTCCATTTGCTTGCCATGTGGTCCTGGTCCATTTCGCCATCTTTCAAATCCTTAACTTCTTCCTCTCCAAATATAGCTAATATTACCTATATCAAAAGGTTTTTGTGAAAATAATAATGTATGCAAAATGGCAGAACCAGGCCTGATGCAGAATGCGCAGTAACTTGTAGCTACGTGTAAACTATATTATTGTTACTGATATTTTCTGCTATAGTGAAATAGCCACACAAATGAAAGCCTTGAGAAGGGAAGGTCTGTTTATCTTTCAGGCTCAAAGATTTAACCTAACCCTGAATGGGATGTATGCTACATTGGAGAAGATATATCTGGCTAGAGTGGACAATTTTCCCATCACTTCCTCAAATAACCAATCACTTTGGCCAGAATTTATACAGTTTCTCTCTCCTCAAAGTATTCCATGTTAACTCCGAATGTTTTTTTTCCATGAGCACAGGAGCCACACTGGACCAATATCCAGGACAGCCAGAGCTCACACTGCATACAAGTACAGATGAACCCATGCCTCTCTCCTAATCCTCATTGCCAGCTCCTCCCAGAATCAGTTTAGATGCATCTCTGCTTCTGATCCCCTGCTCCTATATCCAACTTCTAGAGGCTGGAGTTATAGTTTACAGCTCAAGAGAAGTAGAGAAAAGAACTTTCTACTAACTACAGATGTCCAACATATATATTAATACATACATAGATGCACACACACGTTATAAGAAAGTCTAACTCGATCTCCATACATTCAAAGTTTTATTTTTGTTAAGATTTTAATTCTCTGCAATATCTATAGATTAATACCAATCAAAATACCAATGAGCATTTATGGAGAAATAGATGAGTTATGTATAAAATACATGCAGAAATGCAAAGATCTACCACAGTCAAAGCAATCTTGAAAAACAAGAATAAACCATAAGGACATACATTATTTGATTTAAAAATTTATCAGACAGTAATCAAGGGAATATAATAGTAGTATAACAACAGAGAAATAGGTAAATGGAAGGAAATAGAGTCCAGAGTCCAGAAATAAAGACATTATTATTATTATTTTTTTTTGGTCATAGAGTGTATGTGCTCACTGGAGAGAGAGAGAGAGAGGTGGTGAGAGGCAAAAGTGAGAAATAACTCTCCAAGGGGGATGCCCATGCCACAGTCCCTTCTTTTTCATTCTCCTCCTGAGATTTTGGGCATGCATGCATCTATGCCTGGCATGATTTTCAAGCTGCCAGGTCTGGGATTTGAACCATGGTGACCACGTGAGAGTCCAGTGCCTTAACCTCAAGACAACTGATTTTCAACCAAAGCACCAACACAATTCAATGGGGAAAAGACTGTCTTTCAATAAGTGGAGCTGAAACAAGTGGGTAAATGTACAAGGGGGAAAAATGAGGCCTGACCCCTATTACATACCACACACAAAATTAATTTGAGCTGGATTGTAAATCTAAACATAAAAGCTAAGACTAAGGGAACTAGCAGGTAGCATGCTGGTAAGGCACTGAGTTTCCACATGGCCAACCATGGTTCAAGTCCCAGACCTAGCAACTTAGAAATCACATCAGGGCATGTGTGCATGCATGCCCAAAATCCCAGGAGGAGAACAGAGAGGAAGGAAGGGATTGCAGCAAGGCTATGCTCCCTGGGAGGAGAGAGGAGGGTCATTTCTCACTTTCTATTTCTCTCTCTCTCTCTCTCTCTCGTGAGCACATGTGTCATACAGGTAAAACCTAAAAAAAAATAAAAAGCAAGGTTCTAGAATAAAAATAGGAACATAGATAAATAATTCTTAGAAAGGATACAGAAAACACTATGCTGAAAAACCATAAAAGAATCATAAAAGAAAAATTTGATAAACTAGATGGCATCTAGATCAAAATAATCTGCTTATCAAAAAAACACCATTGACAGAGGCCAGCAGTTGGCATAGTAATTAAAGCACTGGACTCCTATGTGGCTGACCACAGTGTGAGTCCCAGATCCAGTGGCTTGAAACTCACACTGGGCACATCTGCATGCATGCCCAAAATCCTAAGAGAAGAATGGAAGAGAAGGTATTGCAGTGTGGCCATCCCTGCCTGATTTCTCCCTTTCTCTCTGTGTCTTTCTGTCTCTCTAGGGAGGACATGTGCCCTACAGCAAAAATCTCAGAAAAAAAAGAAAAAAAAAACAATGAGAAAATGTAAAGGAGACCCACAGGCTAGGAGAAAAACAGTCACAATATGTATATCTGACGAAAGACTTTATTCAGAATATAAATATCTAGAGAGTGTAAAAAGCGCTTCTACAAATCAATAATGAAATGACAAACAGTCCAGTTAAAAATGGGCAAAAGAGAGACCAGCAGATGGAGTAATGTTTATGTTGCTGAACTCCCACATAGTCAACTGCAGTTTGAGTCTTGGGCCAGACAACTTAAAACTCACACCAGGCACATGTGCATGTGTGCCCAAAATTCTGAGAGGAGAATGGAGGAGAAGGGATTACATCATGGCCATCCCCCCAGGGGTTGATTTCTCAACTTCTGTCTCTCTTGTCTCTCTCCATCTCTGGTGAGTGCACGCATCCTAAAGCAAAAATCTCTCTACCAAAAAAAAAAAAAAAAAGGCAAAAGATTTGAACAAACATTTTGTAAAAGAAAATATACAAATAACTGATAAGCACATGAAAAGGTGCTTGACATCATTTGTAATCAGGGAAATGTAAGTTAAAATTATAATGGGATCCATTTCACAGGCACTAGAACAGCCACAATTAAAAGTGTTTACCGAATACCGGCAGCTGTGTAGAGCAACTAGAACTCTTATACGCTGCTGGTAGGAACAGACAATGAAAAAGAATTACTTTGAAGATGGTTTGGCAGTTTCTCAGAAAGTTAATATAATAGTCCTAGAATATGCTAGGTGTTTTGTTTCTGTTTTAATTAAAGCTTGTCTTGTATACAAGTATCTTTAAAGACAAGATACTTAAATACAAAAAGATACTTGAATACAAATATTTATAGCACCTTTATTCATAATAGCCAAAAACAATCAGATGTCCATCAATAGGAGATGAATAAACACACTGAAATGACTACATCTCAATAATAAAAATGAGGAACCAGCAGTTAGCGTAATGGCTATGTCGCTGGACTTCCATGTAGTCGACCATGGTTCGAGTCCTGGACCCGATGGCTTAAACTCACACTGGGCGTGTGTACGTGTGTGCCCAACATCCCGAGAGGAGAAAGAAGAAGGGATTGCGGCGTGGCCACCCCCCGGGGGGTGATTTCTCGCTTTCTGTCTCTCTGTCTCTTTCTGTCTGTCTGACAAGCACACACACCCTATAGCAAAAAAAAAAAAGAATGTAACAACTGATTCATGCCATAACACAATGAACTTCAAACATATTATACTTAGTTTAAAAAGTCAGATATAAAAGAGCACATACTGTATTTTCCACTAATATGAAGTTCAAGAATAGGCCAAACCAATCTTTGCTGATAGAATTCAGAATGGTAGTTGCCCTTGGAGTACAGGGATTTATTAAAGGAAAGCTTGAGGGAACTTTCAGGGCTGATGAAAACATATTATGTCCTGATTGTAGTGATAATTACATAGGTATATATATGCACTAATCAAACCTTATCAACTGTATACTTAAAATTTGTATTACTGAATATAAATTTTACCTAAAAAGGAAAAAAAAAAAGAAGTCCTTACATACATAATTCTAGTTAGTAGGTTTTCTTTTTCACAATGGGATATGTTAGAATTTAGAAACTACTTTCTATATTCCAGGGTGCAAGACATAAGAATTTATTGAGGGGGATCAGCAGGTGGCATGGTGGTTAAGGCACTGGATACTCCCACATGGTCAGCCATGGTTTGAGTCCCGGACCTGGTGGCTTGCTTTCTCACTTTCCCTCTCTCTCTCTCTCTCTCTCTCTGGTGTCTATCTCTGGTCAAATTAAAAAAATAACTGAGTGGATAAATAAATAAATACTCAAAAAAAAGATTTTTAAAGAAAAAAGAAGAATTTATTGAGGATAATGGAGGCCAAATTTCTCACTACTAGAAAAGAGAGTTAAAAACATGGAAGGGAAATACTAGACTAAACCTTGGAGTGTTGGGATTCAATAGAATGGATGGTGTATAATATAAATAGTACGAGTGGTTTACAATATATAGCTTTGAATTTATAAATTGATCTAAATATGTACTTAAATATCTAAATCTAGATAGATAGATATCTCCATGCCCTGACAGTTTAGAAGGCCAAGTAGCAATGAACACTTAGCATCTAGGTTTTTATTCCTAAATACCATTCATTACTGAAAGGACAATGGCTCCTTAGAGACAAGGCTGATTCGGGGTTGGGCAGGGATAGGACAACATGGCCCTGAAACATACTATTACACAAGAAGATAGATATGTTCAAAAAGTGATGAAAATAAGTCTAAAGGACAGAGAAGCCTACCTGAAAAGCTTCCACTGGCCAAATCTTGAACAATCTGGGAATCAAATTAAATAACCAAGAGGAAACAATTTGAGCAACAAATGAGATGGAATATAATCCATGGTGTAAAACAGAAGATCC